TCTCGATTCTAAAACGACGATTAAAAGATACATACATACATATACACATCCGACTCACTTTTTTTTTTATATACATATAACACCTTGAATGAAAAAAAATACTTTTGCCCAGAAAAATAATAGAAAATAATTGAAAAACTAAACGAACAACGAGTTATGTCAACAAATATAATGTTCCATGTAAGTACTCGTTCTACGCGAGACTCACTTTCAATAATAACTGACATAACAAGACAGCAGATAAATATTCAGTAATTTTTGGATAACACATACATTCAAAAGCTTTAATCTTTTAAATTACAATAAACATTAAGTAGTACATAATTCGTATTTACACGATATTTATCTTATCACTCCAGTTGTCAGGTAATAGGAATTTTATCTAGCATCCTTTCGTACTAAGAGCATTTCTATATTTTCCTGAAACTAATCGAGGAAATATTTGTCGCATCGGTTCGCACTTTATATAGAGGTACATTGAACTGATCAGTATGCAGAGTTACCGAATTCATATTGCACATCATGCTGGACTGGTTTCGCGTTAGAACATTTAATCAGGTGTGTGTGGAGGTTCTTGGCTAAAGTATGGCGCAGTGTCCTGCACCAACAACGTATGGCAAACATCACAGACTCTGGATGGTCTTTGTTTTGGTCCACTCTTCACAATATGTGAAAGGCAAGACTGACAAAATATATGGCCACAATGACGGCAATGCACCTGCGAAAATACACTTCAGTCTTCGCTGAACCGTGCCAAACGAGAAACGTTATTTAACTTAGTTCCCAACGATACCTTCTTTTTTGTAACCGTGAAAGCAGTATGACAACTAGGGCATTCTTCCACGTCCTCTTCGTGTTGCCATCTTACTTCACTACCAGCTTGTCTAATTCTTTCTAATTGTACCTGTGTCACCAACAGTACATTCAATGTTAACAGTGTACGTAATTCAATGAACGTTATATCATTTTCTTTTTGTGTTACATACCTGCAATGATTGTGACAGTCTAACAAAGTCTTTTTGAACTGCTTCACTAGTGTCTAGTTCTTGTTGAAGACTGGTAACTCTCTGCCGTAATTCAACAACTTTCAATTCGGCTTCCTTATTTTCTTTCAAAACTGAATCCAATCGTTTCTCTAAACGTTCGAGTTTCTCTTCCCTTTCGGCGAGCGATCGGTGATCCCTAATGTATTTATCTAGTTGGCTTCTGCAGAGAATATAGTTAAAAGTAGTACGTACTTGTTAAAGTGAGATACTTAAAAACATTGAAATAAGTGATAAGTAATATTACCTCAATCCGGTAATTTCATTTTTTAATACCAATACTTCCTGTTCTTTCACTCTATTCTCCTGTTCCATTTGTTCGTGAAGCAAAGTCACTTCGTACCGTAACGTTTCTTCTTTCTCTTGTGCAACTTCTTGCGCAACTTTGGCGGTGATGAGATCTTCGCGCATTTTTAAAAGACTAATGTGCAGTTCTTCAACATTATTCGGCATGTTGATGCTCTCACTCTGCAGTTGCTGGGAATGTTTACTATGCTTACCAACAAGATTTTCATTTTCTTTTTGCAGTCTGCAAAGATTCAACTAGATTTTCAACAAAATTTTCTCAGGATTGCCTTGATAAAGGATGATACTTTACACACATGTCAAGAATGAAATAAATGATAACGGAATCAAAGCTGCATGATTACTGAAAAGTTTCTTACGCGATAAGATGCCTCTGCACTTCTTCCCGACCCCGCGTCAATTTAACCAGTTCATCTTTAGCATTTCTCTGAACTTGTTCAAACGTTTTCTTCAGCTCAGTTAAAGTCTGTTGCACTGTTTGCGAGGTGTTCGTAAGCTCGGCTACTTTGATTTTGTGCTCCTCTTTTTTCTCATTCCATTTCTCTTCCATTTCCTTACGAAAGTCCACTTCCTTGGCCAAATCCTCTTTCTGCATTTGCAACATGCGCTCAGAATCCAACAGTTGCTTCTCTAGATCTTTAGCGGTGGCTTGCATTTTAACTAACTGCGCCTCATAATTCGCGCACATGTCGCACGCAGGTTCAAAGGAACCTGGATCCTGTTGTTTCTTTAGCAACTGTGCCTCTTTGCACTTCTGTAACTCATCGTCTGTGGCTCTCAATTTTTCTTTCAAGGCTTTAATCTCTTCTTCGAGTGGCACTACCAGTGAACGCAGAAGTTCTGCATCTTCCTGTGCCTATAAAGCAATACTTTCTAACATTTGCACACCTATGTAAAATCGATAGGGGAAAAAAAACAAGTAATAAAATAAACACTTCATCGTGATCAGTGAAATGATTTATGAACAGTTTCTGAAATGTAGTGCAGCTCTATAAACTCATTGCAGAAAAGTTCAGAAATCATACGTTCTTAAGTTTACGTACATATTTGTTTACCTTCCTCATGCTTTCTCCAAGATGGTCAGGACCTAAAGACAGAGCATCCGCGCCTAGTTGTGAAACTACTTTTCGAGCTATCGTTTTCGTTACTGTGGACAACGATATCTGTGGGCCGTCTACAGGTGGTTCCCGAGGTAGCTGTGATTTTAACAATCTATTTTCTTCTCGCAACTTGGAAAGAGTCATCTTTAATTTAGATACTTCTGTGTCCAATTGTTTTCGCGAGCTTGAAGATTCCTCTACGGTTTCATGTATAACTCGTTGTAAAGATGCTATTTCTTCTTCAGCCTTCTTTTTCTCCACGAGTATATCATCCACAATTTTTATATTTGTCACAACCAGTTCGTTCTTCACTTCATGCAGTTCTTTTTGTAGCCTTTCATTTTCTTCTTGTAGGCCCATGTTATCGTTTAATCTTCTCTTTAATTCTTCTGCAAATATATATGTATATGTATATATGTACATATTTATATTACAATTAACATAATTCTTAAATTATTCATCGCAACTATTGTTGACAAGCAATTTCACCTTCTTTCTGAAGAAACAGTTCCTTCATCTTCGCTCTCTGAACATTGAATTCCTCTTGCATCTTGACATTCTCAGTCTCCAATCTATTTACTTTCTCTTGCAACTCCTCTGGATCATTACGGAACGCTTGATTAGTAAATTTATTTAACGTATAAAAAAAAAAAGAAAGGACAATAATTTCAGGCAACGAATCATTGCTCTCAAGGGTAAGTATCTCGAAATTGATAAAAGCATTTCTTTCATTGACATAACACAGAGGAAAACTGCGTGAATGTATTACCGCATCAAACGTACCGCTTCCGTTCATGTTTATGGTGTTGTCCTCTGTGTGGTTTTCCATTATTCGACGATACGCTGCGGTTAAACGAAATTTTGTCGGGCGGGTCACTGGCTGTCGTGAATGAGAGAAAACTGAATTCTAAGGTTCTCCTCGCTCAAATCTTTCGGTGACATTATGGCACGTGTCCCGTACCAGTCGTTCTCAGATTTTACTGACATCCATCCCAACAAGAGGATTTTGAGACTACCATTAAGCACGGCGACACGGGACGACGTCACATACGACCAAATGAAAAATCAACCTCAATAATCTAGCGGTCCGCCAGCGGTGTATTATCAGCACTTCCTAGTCAATCAGTATATCGATATTTTAAACAGTGAACTTTCGATAATCGAGCGATGCCATAATCGACTTTCCTAAAATCTCGTTCGTGTTCGTCTTTTCTGTGGCTACTTTAAAAACACACGCACCACTGGAACTAATAATGTACACAATGAATCATCGTACGTCGAGAATGATTCTGCTGAATCTATCCAGAAACGTAAAAAGCACCATAACGCGAATTTTAACTATACACTCGTGCCATGCCACTCTCTTTAAGCGCAATACATTGTTAGTGTACGCTGTTGTAAATATTTTATAGACTCACTTCAGGCTAGTAAAACTACAGTGATATATGTACCAGCACTATAGTATCATATTACAACGATGTCTTATATCGATTTCCTATAAAAGAAAGCTGTCTATTGTTTCTTATTTAAATAAATAATCAACGAAGAAACATTAGAATGTTACAATAGAATTAATACATATAAATAAGATTTCTCGTCATACTGATTTTTTGAATCACACTCCAATGATTTCATTGTAATCAAAGCATTTTTGAATATGCACAATGAAAATATAAAATAAACGAGTAACAAGAAACATAAACATTTTCGGTTCAGATGTTATATTTTATATGCTCTATGAATATTGAAAATCATCAGAAGCGATCAATCTAAGTCGTGATCAATTTATCTTAATTGATAACAATCTGATAATTCTTGTATTGTTCTGAAAACAAATTTATCATGAAGCATTTTATACAAATGATCAAGTTTTCTAAATCATATCACAATAAAATTTTTTTTAAATGACCGTGTACTTTGCATAGGTTACATAGCTCTAAACTATAGCATTGCAGTACTCATAGTAATCTATAGAACATGAATATATTAATAATGATTCTTAATATCTTTGAATTTTCTGAGATTTCTATTGAGATACATTAACGTTCGCACTTCATAATATTAATTTTTAACGCCAATAAGTATGACATTAAGGAGCGATTGCTGAATCATGACTTTTACATAATGCCAGAAAAAGAAATTTATAAGAAATTAATCTATCCTCGACGAAAGGTTAAGCGTTTAATAGTGAATGTTTCAAATATTCAATTGCAGTATTATCTAACGTTGCCTTGGGCATAAATTATTGTGAAAAATGGAAATACGACAAAAAATATCCTGTACAAGTGTGCACTGTATACAACAGTATCGCATGAAGGAAACCTGATAGTGCGTGACCAATGCCAAGCATCGGAATCAGTTTTCCACCATTAATTATCCCTCCTTTTTTCTTACACCGAATCTACACAATCGCATTGGTTACCTTCCATGAAGCTGATGATTCATAATAATGATGTTTCGTAATTTTCTGTTATACAAATGGAAAAACGGATCATAAGTTATCAGCACTTTTTATGTCATAGAGAATTAACTTCTAGCGACGTTCTACGAAGTAACGGTCGTAAGGCTGCTTCCGGTGGTTCGCGGTTTTTTCCTAACAACGAGGAAGAAATACAAACTTCGAAATACGTTTCTTGGGACAAAAGAAAGCGCGGAACGTCAGCCTTGAAATCACTTTCGACCTGTTTCTCAAAGTGTTGCCTGTTGCAATTGGTGTGTTCGCGTCTGTACCTGTTAATTGTTCATAATGGAGGTGTTAATAACAAACATCTGAACCCTCGAAATTATACGAAATTCATCGTTACGGATTGATTTGAACAGCAGTGCCGAAACGTTAATCGTTTCACTGTGATGTCCTTTAAATGCCATGAGTTGTTGAATCGCGAAAAGGTAAGAACGTCGCCATCACGGCTTCTGTCAATTTGCACAAGTAAACCGACTACGACTCCGCCTTGAGCGTGTATTCATTTTCGTTCTCTTTTGT